AACGCTGCTTTTGCAGGTACTATTGGTCTGGGTCTCATCCAGCATCTTTTCAGTACACCCAGTTAGGATTCAGCAGTCCAGTTGTACACTCTTGGGTATTCAGCATTAGCTTAAGGCGTGCAATAATCACATGCCCACTTTTGCAGCATCTTCATAGCATCCCAAGTCACTCTTGGAATGCTCTCTTTATCATACCCTGCAAGTGTTTACTTGTGTAACACATCCTACCATATCTTGCAGAGAAGCACTTCAGAGAGGGCCAAAACCCCCCACACTTGGTGCCATTTTCATCTACACATGCAGCAGAGTAAGTTGACCCAGAATAGTACCAATTCAGATGGCAGATGGGAGAATGACAGTGCTGAATGCTTTCCCATGTAGAACAGTCCCTGCAAATAAAAACCTAGCATATTTGGAAGAGGGATGCTAGCCTAACCATTACCTTCTATGCTGTTACTATTTTTTTTTTTTTTTTTTTACATAAGTAAAAAGTGACCTTTCCCCATCTGGCATGGTGGTGTGCCTCGAGATTTTTTTCATGAAACAAGTGTGCCTTTGCCCAAAAAAGGTTGGGAAACACTGCACTAACCCATTATCTATTCAGCTCCTGACATCTCCTCCTCCTCCCAGTCTTCTCCCTCCCCCCCCCCAACCACTCATCGTTGTCCCACTACAAATCCTCTGGCTCTTAGCCTTCTTCCCTTGTGGATTCCGCAACTGGTGCCTCTCACCACTCGTGCATCCAGCCACTCAATGGCATTAAAGGGACCCCTGACCATTAGGTCCAGTCGTGACCGTCTCTGGGGTTGCGGTGCTCATCTCGCTTTATTGGCCGAGGGAGCCGGCGTACAGCTTCCGGGTCACGTGGCCAGCATGACTAAGCCGCTTCTGGCAAACCAGAGCAGCGCACGGAAACGCCGTTTACCTTCCCGCCAGAGCGGTACCTATTTATCTACTTGCACTTTGACGTGCTTTCGAACTGCTAGGTTGGCAGGAGCAGGGACCGAGCAACAGGAGCTCGCCCCATCACGGCGATTCGAACCACCAACCTTCTGATTGGCAAGTCCTAGGCTCTGTGGTTTAACCCACAGCACCACCTGCGTCCCTCCTGTCAATGGCGTTAGGGATAAATCAATAATTCTTTGTAACGTTTTCTGTTGCTTTGAACTTCTATGCAAATAAGGAACTATCTCATGCTGCATCAGCTATGTTCCTTTCCCTTTCCCCGTGTGCCCCCAAAATCTGCTCTGGAGGGTCCCCCCAACCCTGCAGAAGTGATCTGAGAGCATGCGGGGGGGGGCTGGAGAGGGACCTCCTTTGAGCACACAGAAGTCTGTTGCGCCAGCAAAGCTGCAGCATTGGATATGGCCCAAGGAACAACTTCATCGCCGTAGCGTCTACAAGCGTAGCTTGGTCACCAAAAGAGCTCGGATGCAAATAACAATGATCAGGCAGACCTTGCACAACCAAAGAAACCATTTTTTAAAAACTCTTTTTCAAATGGATATAGCCAGAAGGGAGGGTAAATAAGGAGGGTATTTCTGAGTTGTGTCAGAGGAAGAGAATGTTTTAGAAGGGGAGGGGAGGAAACAAGCAACCAATAAAGCGGAAGAAAACTGCCCTTCTTTTGGGAGATATGATTTCTCTATTCTCCATGGGAGTGTGGGAAAAAGTGGTTTCACAATATATAATTATGTGTGAACCAGACAGTAGATAGGCAGTCAAAAACCTGGGAATCTTACACAACTCATGGATTAAATAAGAGCATTACCATCGGTGTACACAACCTAAGAATATACCGGTAAGTGGTATACTAACACTCTGTAGTTGCTGCAGTGTAGTATTTTTATCAACATGCTACAGTAACACTAATGGGATGATAACAAAATGCAAAAATAATGATAGTACATTAATTGCGATTGATGTGACTTAAGGGAATGAAATGTTGTCAGCATGGTGGGAAACAGGAGACAGGGCAGGTGCACACTTACCGGTAATTCCAGAAGCTGTAAGTTTTCATATGTGTAGTGCATGTCTGAAGCTGCCGTAATGGCATAATGCTGTGTGTGCTTACTCAGTGTGTTCAGTTGGCCTTCCTTCGAAGTCAGTGTGCACAGGACTGCAGCATGGCAGGGCAGTCCCACATTCCTTTGCTGTGAACATCTTGTATATAAATATTTTTTACAAATAAAGATGAAGTGAAACAAGTTGCAAACAAGTGGCTTTGGAAACAGGAACTTCTGCTCAAGGCATTTGGGCTCTTCAATGCATTTTGCCACCTCATAAAGATAAAGGGACCCCTGACCATTCACCTCATACTTGCCAGATAAAATCTCCATTCTAAGGCACTTCTTTGTTTTGGTGCCCCACCCAGGCTTCCTGGCCATCTCTTCTACTGCTGAGTAATTTGTACTCTGATAAGATTGCTCCTATCCCTTGCTAGTATTCTCCTGGGTTTGGGAGATTCCACTTAGATAAGGATGCCGCTGCTCTGCTTCCAGAAATTCAAGTCCTATCCATTTGCATATCTCCTTTCTCACATAGATTCATTTTACTTTCCAACCTGTGCATACTGGAGCCTTTGGTTTAAGGGCATGAGAAAGAAACAGAGATCTTGAATGGGTGTGGGTGAGTGTGCAGGTTGGAGCCCATCTCTTCAGGTTGGTTAGAACCATACTAACCACCAAGAGGGCGCCTGAGGGGAAGAGAGCAGACAGAGATTCCAGTTCTGTCCCATTAGCTGGTTCTTCCAGCTCCTCTAGCTTGATCTCCTGTTTTTCTCTCCACCCTGCTCTTCTGCACTCCCCCCCTCCCTCTTGCTTTCTGTTCCAGATGCAGCATTCCTACCACCACTACTCTGTTGACAAATAACTTACTCTCCCCTCACCAAATACCTGAAAGGGGCTAGGCCTGCTCAAGGGTCCTTTTCTGCTGGTCACTCTGCTCCATGACTGGCTCTCCGGATGGTAAGTGCTTACTTCTGACCATCTTTTCCAATTCCACAGACTCACTTTCATACAAACAAACAAACAAACAACAAGTGTTGACAGGCTGGTCCTAGACCAGGAGTCAGCAAAGTTTTTCAGCAGGGGGCCAGTCCACTGTCCCTCAGACCTTGTAGGGGGCTGGACTATTTTTTTTTGGGGGGGGATGAACGAATTCCTGTGCCCCACAACTAACACAGAGGTGCATTTTAAATAAAAGGACACATTCTACTCATGTAAAAACACGCTGATTCCTGGACTGTCCGTGGGCCGGATTTAGAAGGTGATTGGGCTGGATCTGGCCCCTGGGCCTTAGTTTGCCTACCCATGTCCTAGACCAAATGTCACCTCAGGCAAGGAAAGGCTTTGACACCTTTCTTCAAAGTTTTAACTTTTGAAGAGCCTCTTTTAAAAAAATGTATGGGATGCATGATTTATGATAAAAATAATCAGGCTAGGATCAGATTAACTGTTTGTATTATTTGTTTCAACTGTTGACAAGATATTTAAGTAGATAGCCTACACAGCATGTGTGCGCCCCCCTCCCAGCCCGGCACCCCAGGGAAATTTAGGGTCAATTGGTCCTAAAACCAGCCCTGCATGCACGGCACTGATTCACTCAAATACAACAGCATGGACCCATGAGAATCTCCCCCCACCCCTGCCTTCATGTGCCCTTGTCCTGTGCTGCAGCTTTGGATTCTTGGTGTAAGAAGTGACTCACTCAGCTATGTATGGCTCTTTTGGTGACTCAGTGGGGAATCAGCGACAAATCTCAGTGGAACGTTTGTAAAAAGCAGGTTGAAATATACGCTCTGTGCTCAGGTTTGCAGCTAAACAAGCAAGTGTGCAAACTGCTGGATCAGCTACTCTGTTTGTTGATGGTGGGGGTCAGTACAAAGAATTGAGGGCAAATAGAGAGGACTGTATCAGGGCTTGATTTCCCAGAACAAACTGTATATCTTCTTACGTATATCTGTATATCTCCCCTTTGGGAGAGGGGCAGACTCACCATAATCTCTACAGTCGGTAAAGAGATAGAATTTGAGCAAACTCATAAATTCACAAAGTAAGGAAAGTCTGGTTTGTTAAAACTAAGCCAAGTGCTGTTGCATTCAGTTTAGGAGCAGGTAGCTAGCCAGGGATAAGCCAAGCCGATGACAAAAGGCGTTGATAGCCCATTTAAGTAACCACCCAGGTGGCATTTGTGGTTTCTTTAGCCGGAGTTGAGGCTGTCTCGCCTTGCCTGGGAGAAGCCCCACTCAGTGGCGTAGCGTGGGTTGTCAGCACCCGGGGCAAGGCAAGTAATTTGCGCCCCCTAACCCGTGGATTTGCGCCCCCTAACCCGTGGATTTGCGCCCCCTAACCCGTGGATTTGCCCTAACCCCAGATGTTGCGCCCGGTGCGGCTGGCCCCCCCTGCACCCCCATGCTACGCCACTGGCCCCACTGAATTCAGTGGGACTTACTTCTGAGAACACAGGTTAGGATTGCACTGTAAGTCTATGAATGTGTATACACCATACATTTCAAGCACATGACTCCCTCCCCCCCCAAAAAACAATAATGGGAACTGTAGTTTGTTGAGGGTGATGGGAATTATAGCTATGTGAGGGGTAAACTACAATTCCCATTATTGTTTTCTCTCTGTGTGTGATTTACATCCTTTAACTATGCTTTAAATGTATGGTATCAGTAATATTTAATTTTCTACTGCACCTTTAGACCAAACATTAATTTGGGGACCCATTTCTCCTTTTTCCTATTTTTAAAACCACCAACTTTAATGCTGTGTATCTTCTTTGTTTTACCCAGCATTTTCAGCAATGGCCATGAATTCACAAATGCGTCCCATTCTGACTCTTTTCATCTTTGCGGTTTTCCTCTCCATCCTATTCTACACCTCAAGACTATCGGATGAAACATCCCAAGGGGATTCAACCAGTCGGCCACCTCGTTCTTAGCAGAAACTTGCAAAGCTATTACTGAAGGGAAAAAGCACTTCTCACCCCGAAAGATGCTGAAGACATCCTTTGGGGAACCCAACTGCAGTGACTACGTGACCCAAAGCCACTACATTACCAGACCCCTCTCTGCAGAAGAAGCTGCCTTTCCTTTAGCCTACGTGATAACCCTGCACAAAGAGTTTGATACTTTTGAGAGGCTCTTTAGGGCCATATATATGCCCCAAAATGTCTACTGTGTCCACGTGGACAAGAAGGCCACCCGTGCGTTTAAGAGAAAGGTGGAGCAATTGCTAGGCTGTTTCCCCAATGCTTTCCTTGCTTCAAAATTGGAGCTGGTGGTTTACGCTGGGGTATCGAGGCTCCAGGCTGATCTGAACTGCATGAAGGATCTTGTAAAATCCAAAGTGCCCTGGAAATACCTTCTCAACGCTTGTGGGCAAGATTTCCCCTTGAGAACCAACAAGGAGATAGTTCGGTACCTGAAAGGGTTCAAAGGGCAGAACATCACTCCGGGGGTGTTGCCTCCACATCATATTCTCAAGAGGACAAAATACATCTACCGAGAACAGGTTTACAGCATCTTTTCCTTCATGCTGGGGACTTTTCTGCGGAAATCGCCACCTCCGCACAACCTGACCATCTATTTCGGCACTGCTTACATTGCACTTTCAAGGGAATTTGCAGACTTCATCCTCAACGACCGGAGGTCTCTTGATCTCCTTGAATGGTCTAAAGATACCTACAGTCCAGATGAACATTTCTGGGTGACACTCAACAGGCTGCCAGGTATGCTCCTTTTCCTTCAAAAAGTTGTTCTGTTGTTGATAATAACGGTGGTAATAATAATAGTGTTACAAACATCAGGTGCCCACCCCCTCTGCCAAGCGATGGCAAGAGTTCATGGGGTTCCAGGCACTCACCCAGGGTCTGTGGTCCTTTGGAGAACTGAGACATGATGGAGACTGTCATAGCTTTAAGATTTACATGGAGGGAGTCCCAGTCTTACTGCATGGTCATTTCAAGAGGGATTTGTTCCCTACAGCCGTGCAGCCAGCCTTCAGCCAGCCTGCCCAAAATGGATGCCAGTCCATCTTTCTCCAGCAACCCTTGCTCAAAACTCTCTTTTCCTATCATGCTCAGTTACCCTGGCAACCTTCCAAACCCCTGTCTCTGTTCACACCTCAGGGCATGGGGCAGGGGAGGACAGTTCTCTTGCGTTGCCAATGGCCGTCAGTGGCTCTGTATTGTTTCTTAATGGCCCTAGCTTGGCCAGGGTCGTTTGCATAGGCTAGCCCAGGAATTCCTCTGCAGTTTGCATTTCTCCCTTCACATCTGAAATCATCAAAATCCTACAATTCATAAATTCCTACGGTCCCACACCCAATCTATAACAATATTAACCAACTTTTCAAGTCAAACTTCCAGTGATGGAAAGGAGGGATGGGGAACTGTAGTTGATTCCTCACAGAGCTACAATTCCCAGAACCCTTTCCAAACTACAGTTCCCAAGATTCTTGGGAGCAGTCATGATCTTTAAATGTATGGTGTGTACTGTACACAGCCAAAGGTCCACAGAAGTTAACACTCCAGTAGTCAATGTTTGATGTGATGGTCCTGGGACAGGGTGGGAACTGTCATTATTTTTAGTTGGTCTGATATTGTATCCAGTCACTCCAGCCTCCAATATGGAAGAGCCTAAGTGGCTTACAGAGCACATAGTTCTACATAAATACCTAATGCCCCCCCCCATTCTTTTTTGTAAGATCTGTGCATTTTATTTCTCAAGCAAAGTTTCAAAAAAGGGATGTGTCCTTGACACACATACTGTGAAACTATTCTATAATCAAACCTTCCTGGAAAACTATGTAGATTTCAACTTTAGTTTGTTCTACTTCATTTAACCATGCGATATGAAGTCATTTCTCCACCGCATGGTCCTCCGGAACCAAATGCAAATCAAATACAAGCATCTGGAAAGATGACTGGAGTACTTCTGCTATCTGACAGAGGGCAGTCTAGAATAACACTTGAAAACTGGTTTGCCTTCAGAGGGAAGAACTTGAGATGAAGTTGATTAGGCAGAGCTGGCAGAAAAGGAGCAACCCTTCCACGCATCTGCGCAAAGTATCCTTCTGTCTCCCCATAGTGGAAACACATTACGTAACATCTAACATTGTGTTGTGTGTTCCCACCCCTGCACCACATTATTGGCTGCTGTAGAGTTCTGTGATTCTATGAAAGGAGGACCTGAACGTGGAGCTAAACATCTGGCAGCAGTGGAGATACTATAGAACCCACTGTGCTTGCAGAAGCTCCTGGCTAGAGCCCTTAGCATCACCAATTAAAGGTACCATGTATCAGATGATAGTAAAGGTGTCTGTCTGAGACCTTGGTGAGCCGATGTTAGTCAAGACTTAGTGCAAGTTAGTCATGGAGGATAGGGTATTCAGTGGCCACTTGCCATGGTGGCATTGCTCTACCTCCAGGAATGGAGGCAGTATGCCTTTGAGCATCAGTTGCAAGGAATCACAAGTGGAGGAAGCGGGACGCCGGTGGTGCTGTGGGTTAAACCACAGAGCCACGGGCTTGCCAATCAGAAGGTTTGGCGGTTCGAATCCCCGTGATGTAGTGAGCTCCTGTTGCTCAGTCCCTGCTCCTGCCAACCTAGCAGTTCGAAAGCACATCAAAGTGCAAGTAGAAAAATAGGTACAGCTCCGGCGGGAAGGCAAACGGCGTTTCCGTGTGCTGCTCTGGTTCGGTAGAAGCGGCTTAGTCATGCTGGCCACATGACCCGGAAGCGGTACGCCGGCTCCCTCAGCCAATAAAGCGAGATGAGCGCCACAACCCCAGAGTCGTCCGTGACTGGACCTAATGGTCAGGGGTCCCTTTACCCTTTACCTTTTTACACACTGAGGCAGGGAAGGTTGCGGAGGAATCACTGAAGTCCTTGGGAAATGTGTGTGTGTGATGTTTGCCTGAAATTTCAGGAAATCTGGCTGCGTCTGCACCTTCTATTAATAGAGAGAGAACTAGAAATGCCAAAGGAGGAACAAGGAAGAAGAACCAGGAGCCAACAACTTCACTCTCTTTGCTGGTAAGAGAGGAGGTGGTTTTCATTCAGGGGACAAGAATGAGGATGAAACTTATCAAAAGAGACTGGAACCATAGTATTACAATGCATTACAGTCGTCATCATCACAGCAGCTTTCCCTGCAGCCCGTATCGTGCTTAACTCCTTCAGTCTAGGCAAATGCAATAGATGGGGAAGAGATGGGTATCAGGATGGTAAGAGGGAAGGGCTTGTGTTGTTGTTTATGGAGCATTCAGTCTGATTTGTTTGTGCAAAGTTTGCAGGGAGGTCACATGACACCAGCTGTTTATTGAGGATTCAGTCTGATGTGTTTGCAAGGAGGTTAAGGGATGCCACTTCAAGAAGTTGTTATCCCACACCAGGGTTCAGCAACCTTTTTCAGCCATGGGCTGGTCCACCGTCTCTCAGACCATGTGGTGGGCCGGAATATTTTTTTGGGGGGGGGGTGAACGAATTCCTATGCCCCACAAATAACCCAGAGATGCATTTTAAATAAAAGCACACATTCTACTCATGTAAAAACATGCTGATTCCCGGACTGTCCGCGGGCCAGATTTAGAAGGCGATTGGGCCGCATCCAGCCCCCAGGCCTTAGTTTGCCTACCCGTCCCCCACTTTCCACCAGGGCATTTTCCTGTCACTTTCTTAACCACAAACAGTCCATGGGGCAGGAGGAGAGAGAAAGAGGGTTTGCTCTTCAGGAGCGCCTAATCTACTTTAACTGGGCAACCTGAATTTACAGGTATGCATTTTCATCCCACCCACAAAACAGTGACAGTCTGGAAGTGACCCTAGAGAAGAAATTGTGGGCTCAGGCTGTTAAGAGGTGTGGAACAGAAGAAAAGGAGGCATGTGAATTAAGAGATTGTGTAAAGTTGTGAGGAAACAGGGATGGAGGTGTTAGAATGTGCAGCAACTCACTCTCTCCAGTGTAGCTATTAGAGATACAGCCTGGAGTTGTACTAAATTGAAAACCGAAGCAACAACTTTGAAACAACAATTGATTAGAAAAGAAAGAAAAGCAAACGGGAATTTGGGAAATGTTTATTGATTATGCATCCTGATGTGTTTGCAGAGAGACTAGATGAAGCTGGCTATTTAATAAGCATTCACCCTGATTTGTGTTGCATCAAAGCACACTTTCCAGTGCATTTTCCTGTGTGTGTGTGTGTGTGTGTGTGTGTGTGTGTGTGGTCCAATCTTTTCAAGAACTGGGTTGTTACACAAGACCTCCACCTGACTGTAATGGTGCAAACTGGATTTCTAAGTATGTGATTGATTCCCACCTGAAAGTAGTGATATCTGGAAGCGCCCTTGGTAAAGTAAGAAGTATAAAGGTCACATATGCCTTTTGGGGAATGTTTAGGTGGAGTAAACCTAATGGTTAGGGGACGCGGGTGGCGCTGTGGGTAAAACCTCAGTGCCTAGGACTTGCTGATCGCATGGTCGGCGGTTCGAATCCCCGCGGCGGGGTGCGCTCCTGTTGCTCGGTCCCAGCGCCTGCCAACCTAGCAGTTCAAAAGCACCCCCAAGTGCAAGTAGATAAATAGGGACCGCTTACTAGCGGGAAGGTAAACGGCGTTTCCACGTGCTGCGCTGGCTCGCCAGATGCAGCTTGTCACGCTGGCAACGTGACCCGGAAGTGTCTTTGGACAGCGCTGGCTCCCGGCCTCTAGAGTGAGATGAGCGCACAACCCTAGAGTCTGTCAGGACTGGCCCGTACGGGCAGGGGTACCTTTACCTTTACCCTTTAAACCTAATGGTTGAATTCAATGTCATTTCTGCTTGCCTGATGGAACTATCTCCCCTCTCTTCCTCCCTGTTCTATGGGCTCTCTCAGGCCCCCTAGAGCCAATCTGAGGAGCTCAGGGGTACTGGGGAGAAGGGGGGAAACCCTGTTGCACTAGCAGGACTTGTTGCATTGGCTCCCACTACCTCAACTATTTAGTTGGATCCAACTCAACGACTTGATCTGGAGCTGTGTTGGCAGTAACAGCCCATTCCTGATTTGATAACTGGTTGCAACATGGTGGCATCCTCAGCTGAAGGTACAGCGCCACCACTCTTATCGTTGTTATGTGACTCTTTGTACAACCTTTGGACATTACAGATACCATCTTCGTCATGCTTCCTTACATTTGCAAAATCCAAAATGCTACCCATAGCTTCTTCCCTATCGCACTCGGTAATCAACATTTCCTCTTTGATTTGGAGAGGGTGTTTTCATGTCTTTCATAATTTACCTCCAGGTTACGTATAGGGGTGTCCCATTAAAACAGGACTCGCTGCATTTTTCTTCTCATATGAAGCAAGCGCAGCTTCTCTCCCCCTGCCCCCCCCATCCCCTGGCCTCCAAATGCATTGGATAGAAGAAGCATGCCAGTAGAAGTGTCTGTCTTGCCATGTGGAGTCACTAATGTCTTTGGACCCATTTGGAAATTTGAGAAAGTATTGTGGGCACCACCTCTCCCCACCTTGTCATTCTGCACATGCAGAGAAAGCACACACACACTTTTTGCTTTTCCGTGGCCCTGGGTAAAAGTCGAACCCAGCAGAATAAAAACGGATCCTCTTGGTTTTACATGCCTCCCCCAAACTACCATCAGATTAAAGCTTACATTGGTAGACTGCAGAGTAAAAAGAGAAACAGATCCAGTGCCTGCCAGCACCACAACACCACTGAGCCAAGGCACAGATCCTCATGGATCTCCTTGATTCTCACCTAGCATAACAATAAAGTCACCAACAAATAACAGAATACAACTGTGGACACAGAAGTGGCCTGTTATTAGATGATGACTTTGAAGAGATCCCTTGTAAAAGTTATTCTGATCCACAAGTGAGTGGGATGGCTGGCTAGCTCACTTGGTAGAGCATGAGACTCTTGATCTTAGGGTTGTGGGTTCTAAGAGAGTCTGTGTACTGGTCCAGTAAACGCTTCCGCTGCGCCACCAGCAACAGTTCTCTTTGCAGAGCATTAATTAAGTCCAGTGCAGAGATTCTTGTTGCAGTACAAGCTTCAAAGTCTCAGCAGCAAAGAAATAACGACACAGGGAAGCCTGTCTTTCCAAAGACAGGTTTATTGCAGAAAGATAACAGAAACACCTCCGGAGCTTTCAGACATTTTTGCTTCACGCCCCACAGGCAGAGAAAACAAACACTCTTTATATACTGAGCAACTTAACAACTTAACGAGCTTGACTACTTAAAGTCACATGACATTGCTAACTTGCCAGCGTCTTAGGTTTCACACCCTAACACCCCCTCTCGCTGGCAATACAAAAACAAAATTACTTCAGACCCATTTCTTCACAAAAGTTTTCATGCCGCTGAAACCCAAGTGGTTTTGTAAAACCATCAGCTTGATTTTCATGACTGGGACAGTAATTTAATTTAACAATTCCTGCTTTTACCGTTTGACAAACATTTTGAAAGCGGATATCCAAATGTTTTGTACGACCTTTAAACTGCCCATTTTGTGCTAACTTAAGACATGGTTGATTATCACCCCATACAGTGATTAGAGTGATGGCCTTTTCATACATCTCTTGTGCCAAGCATTTGTAAAATTCTAGATCTCTACATAACTCAGATAAGGCACAGAACTCAGCTTCTGTTGACGACAAAGCAATCAGGTTCTGTTTCTTGGATCTCCACCCAATCAGAGAGTTACCAAATTTTATTACACAGCCAGACACTGATTTTCTATCCTTTAAATTTGCCCAATCACTATCTGCCCAACAAGTAATCTGTGCTTGTCCTTCCGAAGATAATTCAAGGCAAAAATCTTTGGTGTATTGTAAATATCTTAACACTCTTTGAATTCCTTTCCATGCATTTACACTAGGTTTTGAAGCTTCTCTGCTGAGTAAGTTAACAGCGTAAGCAATATCCGGTCTACTCCATTGCGAAAGATGAAGTAAGCTTCCCAGTGCTGACTGAAAGATTTCAGCACGCTTGAATTCAGCACTATCCTTGAACTCATTGTCTTTTACAAAACCCATTTCCATTGGTGTTCTAACGCCTGCACATTCCATCATGCCAAACTTTTTCAACATTTGCAATATCTTGTCTTTTTGATTCAGTAGAAAACTGCCATTTTTTGTCCTATCTATCTGAACACCAAGATAGACCTTCACATCACCAAGATTCTTAACTTTGAAGTGTTTATTTAACTCTTTGGCTAGTTTTTTTACTTGTTCTTGTGTCTTTGAAGTATAAATCAGGTCATCTACATAAACAAGCAAAGATTCTTGAGCATCTCCTGAACCTCTGAAATATAAGCAATTGTCAGCCTTGCTCCTGCTAAAACCAATGCCTACCAAAACGTCATTCAAACACTCATTCCAATTATGAGCAGATTGCTTGAGTCCATAAATAGATTTATGTAGTTTCCATACCTGATTTGATTTACCAACTTTCAATCCTGGCGGTAGCTCCATATAGAGCTCTTCAGCCAAGTCTGAATGAAGATAAGCTGTAGAGACATCAAATTGATTCACTTTGAACCCTTTCTGAGCAGCAACTGCTAATAGTGCCCGTAGGGTTTCACTCCTTGAAGTGGGTGCATAGACTTCGGAATAATGTAACCCCTCTCTTTGTGTAAAACCTCGAGCTACAAGCCTTGCTTTGTACTCTGGTTTCCCCATCGCTGTTGTCTTTATCCTGTACACCCACCTACAACTTACTGCCTTGGTACCTTCTGGCAGTTTGGTGATGGAAAACACACCCAGTTCTTTCATAGAATTCAACTCCTTTTGCATGGCCTCACGCCACCTACTGGCCTCCTCCTGGGGTAACTGCTCAACCGCCTCAAAACTTTCAGGTTCGCAATTTGCCAAACCAGCCCAAACACTAATAGCTTGGTACCTTTCAGGAGGTTTACCTTTGTTGGTACGCTTGGAACGCCTTAACAGTTCCTGCGATGTTCCTTCAGTTTCCCCCTCTGACCCAGAATCACTAGTTGTCACCTGTTTGTCACTAGTAGTTGAAGAACTTTCTGATTCTGACTTTACATGTCTCTCTTGCTGTACAGGTGAACTTTTAGAGCTAGAAGATTCTGATTTTACAGACTTGGGTGAACTAGACGATTTCTCACCCTCGTCCTCAGGCTCAAATTCCTCAGCCTGTTCTGGAACTAATACCTGCTCGGGGGCCTGAGTTTCATTGTTACTGTTCACCACATCAAATAGTATGTCAGGATTTCCATGAATTTTATTCCAACCATCCTGTTCACAAAATTCCGCACTTCTGCTGATTGTGATTTTCGTTTGATTGCCTTCTACATTCACAAATCTCCAACCTTTTGTGTTTGCTTGATAACCACAGAAAAACATTTCTTTAGATCTAGGATCGCCTTTCCTACGTTGTGCCCTAGGCACCAGCACATAAGCACGACATCCAAAAACTCTTAGATGATCAATTTTTGGTTTTTTCCCAAATAGCATGAAGTAAGGAGTGTTGCCTACTGTGCTATTGTACACTCTGTTAAAAGTATAATTCGCATACAGTGCAGCCTCAGCCCAAAAACGCTGTGGAAGTCCAGAATCAAACAGCAAAGCAGTAATGGCTTCCTGTAATGTACGAAATTTTCTTTCGGCAACTGCATTCTCTTGTGGTGAATAGGGATTGGTAAGTCTATGAACTATACCTTTCCTTTTTAACCACGTCTCCAGCGTGTGGTTCACATATTCCCCACCACGATCTGATTGTATTTTACGTACCCTGGTGTCAAATTTACATTCAACTTCTTCAATCCAATCCATCAGGATGGAAGCTGCTTGTGATTTTTCTTTCAGAAAGAAAACCCAACTAGCCCTTGAAAAATCATCCACCAAAATTTGCATAAATCTCGCACCTCCAAGCGATTTGACTGGCATAGGGCCACACACGTCTGTGTGCACAAGTTCAAAGGGTTTCTTGCTTACTCTATCAGATCTAGGATAGTTACATGTCTTAACCTTAGCATGTTTACAAGCACAACAATCCAGAAAATTTGGACAGGGTTTAATGTTACACTCCTCAGCTAAATCTGGCATCTTGCTTACATACTTAAAGCATATATGAGCTAACCTTCTGTGTAGTAGATGTGCACAACCTGTATGAGGAGCCTTATTTACACACTTAGCTTGCGCTTCACCTGTTGAACATCTACCTGCTGCTAACTGCTCTTCATCCAAAACAAAGAGCCCATCCTCACAGGGAATTTTAACTAGCTCCTTCCCCTGTTTTGAAATGGTGCACACATCATTTTCAAACTCAACCTTAAAACCACTTTTTACCAGGCATGACACACTCAAAAGTCCATTCTTCATTCCTGGAAGAACAAAAACAGGAAGGTTAGTTTGCAAACAGTTAACATAAATTGTGCCTTTAAGGTTCATTTCTCGTTTACTATTGTCTGCTATAGTCACGGTTTTTGCAACTGGCAATGTCTTGCAGTTCATCAAGCTGCCACTAGATGTCGCTGGAACTAAACTGTGACTTGCTCCACTGTCAATTATCCACTTCAAGGTTTGTTGGCTCCTTTTAGGACTCTGTTGTGCTGCCATTGCAGATAGTCCCTTATCAGCACCTGCTCCCCCTCTGGATCGTTGATTCTTGTAGTTCTCACGTCGTCTTCCCCTGTAGCTCCGGAAACTGGCCTTGGACTGTTGAAATTCCTGTTGCTTTTCTGGACACTTTGCTATCAAATGAAACCTGCTGCCACATCGAAAACATGACTTGCTGGCCATAGCAGACACTTGTGAGGCTTCCTTACAGCTCTGCCTGCTAGTTCCCCCACACTGGGAATTATCTGAACATCCAACCCTTGGGGTATTTGAATTATCAATACGTTTTCGATGATGTTGATATTCTTG